GGAGCCAGGCCGGTGACCAGCAGCATGAGGAGGAGGAGGAGCCAGGCTGGTGACCAGCAGCAGGAGGAGGAGGAGGAGCCAGGCTGTTGTGGCTGTGTATGGTTCTTCCACACGCTACTGAGGCTCCTGTTTGTTAAATTGCTGTTGGATCCCTGTCTGACTCGTTGTGTGTGTCCTCTGTTTCCCCTGATCTCCTCTCCTCATGTGTTCTGTCATTCCCCTGTTTGTTATTGTGTGCCATGTGCTCTGTGTTTTTCCTCTGCCTCCAGACACCTCCCATGGCCACACCCCTGATTAGTGCACAGCTGCGGACACTCCAGCCGATTACCTCCCGCAGGCTGACACACCAGACTCGGATCCCACTAACCATTCCCCTGGCACTATATCAACCCTGGTCCTGCAGTCTGGGGTTGTCAGTTCGTACCGTTTTCACCCGCTTCAACCCCGTATCGTCTTCTGCCTCGAGCGCCTGCCTCCGGTGTCCTCCGGTCCGGGAATCCCCCGTGTCCTCCGTTGTGATCCACGGGCTCCACACAGTCGATCCTGTCTTTTATTATTGGTCAAATAAAATCAGTTGTACCAGATTCTGTCTCCTGTGGTCTTGCTATTGGGTCCTGATGTTGAACTCCCTCCCGTGACAAGAACACTTAAAAAGAAAAAGTTAAAATGCTGTTTCTCAAGTTACTTTGTTTCTCCTGTTCTAGTGTCAAAATACAACAAATGTATGTGCTGCTTCTTCTTCTCTCTCCTTCTTCCTCTTCTCTCCTCCTTCTTCTTCTCTTATCCTACCATCAGATACCTGAAGCCCGACATACAGAAGAAATCCAAGCACAAAACAGCGGTGATGAAAAAGACCCTCAACCCTGAATTCAACGAGGTGAGAACTGCTCAGTATTATTTAAAGATTTGATATTTATCTTCTCTTGAACTAAACCTGAGTGTTTTCACCTGAACACTCCTGAAGATGAAGCAGCACGATGTTTCATTAACTAGAAGGAAAAAAGTAATGTGATTACTTAAGGATGCTTTCTACCTCACTAATGTTGATGCACACGTATGTTCAGATGTACACACATTAATACACATTTACTGTAGTATTGATATCTGGTGATGAAGGAACAACACTGATGCTCATTGATGGGGTTTTAAAGATTTAAGAACAGTAATACGTTTAACAAAAGAAGTTCACATATTAAAAATGTTAATAAAAAAAAAATTTTGAAGATATTTTTTCACTTTTTTTCTACATCTTTCAAAAAATGTACATATTAAAAACTTTGATATTTTTCACATATTTTACTTGTATATAATATGTATACTATAATGTGAAAAAGTAAAATACATGAAAAAACATTACGATAAAAATGTATGAAAAACTATGTAAAATATTTGATGTGACTGGTGTGTTTTTAAAGGAGCTCTGTAACTCAGAGGAAGAAGAGACATCAGGCTGAGACGGTCAAATACATAACGTCACCACACAATGGAAGCGGGTTGTTTCTTCACGCTTCAACACACATGAAGTGTTTTCTGATGTGAATCTCTGCATGTGGTTCATCTCTGCAGGAGTTCTTCTATGAGATCTCTCTGCAGGAGCTCGCCAACAAGACTCTGGAGGTCACGGTGTGGGACTACGACCTGGGACGCTCCAACGACTTCATAGGTGAGACGCTGACGGGTCACGAGCTTCACTTTGCACACGGAA